CCAACTTTTTTTAGTTTAATCCTCTACAATTAGTTTGCAATAATTTTTAAATAGCATCAAAACTAGTTAACTTCACCATAAATCAATCAAAACTTCAATTTAGTTACACAAATTGATATCCGCTTAAAAGTTACACCAACTACGCAAATTTTAACCATGCAAAATTTGAATTAAAAATACAAGAAAATACCAAAGCTTGTATGAAAAGAAAAAAAAAAAAAAAGCAACACTTCACATCCAAATATAAACAAACACCGAAGTCAAGTCTTGTTATCCAAATTCAATTTGCATTCCCATTAAATAAAAAAAATAGTTAGTTGTATATTATATATTCACAACTATCATTATAATCCTTTAAAACAGAGTACATGAGGACCTACAAATTACCAAATAGAATCAAGTTTAGTGTTACTTGAAATCCCAATGCCAAAAGCTTCAGCACTATCAATTATATTTATAAATAAAATTGTACCAAATATAATAAAGGTTGTTGGTTGTTGGTTGTTGGACTTGGGTGTAATATGTGCATTAGTTCATTTAGGTTATAATCAGGTTAGACTGTGTTGATAAATCTGGTAGGGCATGGGCGATCAAAGGATCAACTCAACCCAACCCAATAAATGACCGGGTTGAAGTTAGGTTGGGTTTGTGGTGGATTATAACTAAGAAAAATACCCACTTGTTCGGGTTTAAATTTGGATGGACATGGGTGAGTTCAAGTTGGCCGAACCCAAATTGCACCACTACCATCTATGAAAAATGGAGCACAACTAAAAGAGAAATATGGAATTATGCTTGTGTTTATGGAAGAAATTAACACACAAGTTAGTTTTTTATTGCTTAAGAAAAGTAGAAGAAAGTAATACACAAATTTTTTATTGCTAGAGAAAAGTAGAAAATTAATATATTAAGTATAAGCTCCACGTTTTGTTAAAAAAATATGTATAAGCTCCACTTAATCAATTGTAATATAGATAAAACCATATGATGATGATTTTTCTTTTAAATTAAATTTTTTTTTTGTTAAAAATTTACATTCACATGTAAGGTATAGAAGAATAAAAAATTTTGGGGCCCTCAAAAATTCGGAACCCTGTGCCATTGCACCTTTTGCACACCTCAAACGCCTCCTGAACAGCGCAACACAACGATAATAGGAAAAAACTTGTGGTGAAGGCAAAAACGCAACACAAGATTAAGTGTTGGTAAAACGTTGGGTATTGCTATGCTTTTCGGAAAGCTGCTTTGGATGTGCTGAGTTTTGTGGCAACCACCCATGTTTGATGGATTTCCTTCTCAAGCCAGGCTATGCCCTCTGATTCGGCTAAAATGTTTGTGGTTGTGGTGGGTCGGATCCTCCTACAACTTGATTTCCTAGGTGGTTATGCAGTCCTCTACCAATTCAGTGGGTAAGCCGTCCTAACTAACCAGATCAACGACACGTAAATCCTGACGTGTGTCACTTTTGATGACTCATTCAGTTCTGATGAGTCACGTGGCATGTGTATCATTTGTGAGAGATACAATGCACACCACGTAAACTCTGACATGTCAAAATTTTAGTGTGTCGGTGAGTATTTATCTCACCAAATTTTTTATGCCTATAAATGCCCCCAATTCAAGATGCGGTGTATATATGTACTTGTCACTTGAAGAAGGCATGTTTTGAAGCCCCTCTAAGTAGTGGATGTACTTTGCTCACAGTGTTTTGAAGTCTCTCATAGAACTCAATTCAAGAGCGATGAACACTTGATCTTGAATCATGCTTGAAGTTTCTTCAAGGCCCTCGAGGCTTGATCTTGAATGAAACAGGACCACAAGGAATTTCGGGTGGTGCATGGTCTTTGGCTTTAATGGTGATGAGTCGACACGTGTTTATTGTACCTGTTGATTCTCTATGAGCTTGATGAAGAACATGAGTGTCGGGGTGTTTGCATAATGTCTTTTGACTTTGTAAGCCTTGAAATGTGATTCATGAACTTGTGATTTGAAGTCACCCTCAAAGTAGGTTAGCAAGTGATTTCATGCTTACATAAGGTACCACCATTAATGTGAATAAATGGAGAGGCATACGAAAGCTAATTGAGATGGATGATATGCAATTGCTTGTTTTAACGCCTTTTTCTTTTGGCTAAGATGTACACCCTTTATACAAATGGCACCATAAAGCTTTAGTAGACTTAGCTTTTCCCTCAGGAATGTGTAATGGCTCAACACTACCTCGAGAATGTAGGGAGCCTTAGGGAATGTAATCAAAGTAAATGGACGTAAAGCGAAAAGTTCAAAAAATTTTCCGAACTTTAAAATGCAGTTTTAGGAGTCTAAATGACATGCGATGGCCGAAATCCACCGTATGTCACGTTAAAACAATTACTTCAAAATAGAGCGTCGTGCTCTTTTTGGAAACGTATCGTGAACCCAAAATTCAACCTGCATTATTTTGCTTGTGTTTGTGTTTCTCAAATTGTTTTTTCTCTCCATTTTTTCCTGATTCATCTCTGATCAAATTTTCCTTTTACTGATTTCCTTCGATTTTTTTCTTTTCCTAATTTCTTCGACCGATTCCCTTTGACTTGCAAGAGGATTTCCTTTTCTCATATTGTGCGGATTTATTGACTGATTACTTGAACTTCAAGCCATCATGAGTCAATAAATTGGCCAAAATAGCAACCCCTAAATCACAAGACGTTCTTTTCTGTTTCCCTATTCTTGGACGATCAGTGCTACTTTATGTCGTTCACTTGTTGAGGTACGTTTACAATCTTGACTAATCTTCGGTTTCTTTGCAAATTGATCGAGATATCGATCGTGATACTCGTTGACATATATTTTCTTGCAGGTACCAACATTTGTGGACTTCCGCATCGTTTCTCTGCATCGTCTTCAGTTTCTGCCTTCTGCGATTCAAGCTCATGTGTTGTCTCCATCTGCGGTTTTGTAGAGTCAGTGGCGGCTCCCTGCTATTTGGGTTTGCCACTGTTTTCTGTGCATTTTATTGCCAGCCTCCGCTACTCTGTTACTTGCACTCTGCTTTTGTGATTTTGCTGCTTATGGACTGTGCTGCCCGCTACTTCTAGATTGCACTGGATTGCACACCGCTGCCTAGTTCCTGCCCTGCTCGCCTACCAGCTGCTACAACTGCTGTCTGTGGCTGCTTTCTGCGTCTGCTGCTAGCTCTCAGCACTATTTCTACCAATTGCGATTGCTGTTGTGCCTGTCATCGCTGTGACTTCTCATTGCATTGCTGCTAAGACAACAAATTGCCCTGCCTGAGTGACGACAAACTGCACTGCCGCTGTGACGACAAGCTGCAATACCGCTGTGACTTCTCACTGCACTGCCCTCTGCTGCCGCTGCTTGTTGCATATTGTTTGCTGGTTTTTCGCGCATTACATTCTGTCTGCTGTGCACTACCACTGCCCACTGTCGTCGCTGTTTGTTGCACATTGTTTGTTGTTTTGCTACACATTGCGTGATGTTTTGCCGTGCACTGCCTATTGTGCACTGCAGGTGCGACTGCTGCTTACTGCGTAATGCCGTCCTACTACGTTCCTACTGCAAGAAAAGTATTTCACAGCTCCACAATGGTTCTTTGGTCACAATTGGACTAAGAGGAGGTGTTTTTCATTTTTTTTTTAAAACAATTTTTAGTTTTAAAAAATCAAATCAAACCCAAGCCGAATTGAAACCAAACCGAATAAAAAATAAAAAACTACTTAACTGAATAGTCATTTCGATTTAGTTTTTGGTTTCAGCAAATTGTTGTTAGCAATGACATGAGTGTAATCTAGTGTGTGAGTGTGGTGTGAGTGTGTGATATGGGCTGCCAGAACACATTCCCCAAATCGTTGTTTGCAATGACAAAACTGGTGCCGATCTCGTGCTCATGTTCCTTTGCACCTCCATCAATTAATTAATTTCTTGCAAATGATCCCTTACTACAGTGGTGGAAATAAATGTTGTTCGTGCATCATAGCGTAAGTTTGAATCCCCAAGCTCTCTAATATAACATATCTATCATTCGACAAAACAATTTTTTTAAGGGAAAACTTGATATAAGTCCAATTTTTTTAGCCAATAGTAGAAATACTCCAGTTTATTAAAATAGGTCCAATTCCTTAAATTTAATTATTTTATTATCAATAATTATCTATTCAATGATAAGATTTATTATAAAAATCAAATTTCTTCATAATTATCTCTTTGATTATTTCTTTTTTTTTTCTTGTTCTTCCTCCTGCTTTAAACCCCATTTATATATTTTATTTTTAATTTTTATAATCAACCTATATCACAGGTTAATTATTTTTATGTATCTATATGACAGATTCTTTTTTATAATTAATGTGTCACAAATTACTGTGTCTTGCTTATAGGTATATTATGTTTTTTCCTACCTTTTAGTTAGGTTTCGTATCTCACTTGTAGGTATAATATATATTCATAAATTTGTTACTTGAGTTAATTATTTTTATGCATCTATATGACATATTCTTTTTTATAATCAACGTGTTACAAATTAATGTGTCTTGCTTATAGATATATTATGTTTTTTACTACCTTTTAGTTATGTTTCATATCTCGCTTATAGGTATAATATATATTCATATATTTGTTACTTGAGTTAAGGTAGAATGTTTTGTAGATAATTTATGTTAGTATATTAGTTTTTGTTATTGTAAGATATTAATTAGATTTTTTGGAGTTGAAAAATGCATAATATTAGAAGATTTTTAATTGATTTTTAATATTTTAAAAAATTATAAAATGAGTATAAAAGAAATAAAAACATGTAATTAGATAACTGGACTCACTCCTAAAAATCATCTATGTTTTTGGATCTAGATCTAAAAGCCCATTTTTTTAATTAATTCTTGCTTTTATTTTTGTAAAATATATTCCTTGTTCCCCAAACAAACAGTTTTACACGCAACCGAAAAATAAGTAAAAAAAAGAGAGTAATAATTGTCCTCCAACTTCTTGATTAAATTATTGAAATCTCACAAACACAAACACAAAAGCCAAAGAGGGAAAAAGACAGAGAGAGAGAGAGAGAGATGGCTGTGGAATTGGTGGAGCTCTGCATACAAGCCGCCTCTGAAAGCAGAGACAGCGTCGAGAAATGGCGGAGGCAGCGACGGAGTCTCGAGCGCTTGCCTCCTCAGCTCGCCGACTCTCTCCTTCGCCGCCTCATCTCCCGCCGCCTCCTCTTCCCTTCCTTACTCGAGTAAGTTTCCTACCTTCTTTTCTGTTTGTTTCCCGAGAAACCCGTGCCCAAAATCTAACAAAACTGCTGCAAAATTGCTTTATTTTAAAGAAATTCGATTACTTGATAATGTGAATTAAATGGGTTGTGGGGATTTGGTGTAGATTATTCAAAAACAGCGTGGAGGAGGTTGATCTGCGAGGTGAGAGCTCCGTTGACGCCGAATGGATTGCATACCTAGGGGCATTTCGGTACTTGCGATCTTTGAACGTTTCTGATTGCCGTAGACTGACTGCCTCTGCTCTTTGGCCTATTACTGGTACAATGCTATTTCTGTAAATTTTTCTAATTTTTTTACCGAAATTAAAAGAAAGATCGAATTTTTATCATGGGTTTTAATAAGTTCCTACAATTTTACTGGGTTTTTTAGGGATGGAGAGTTTGAGGGAGTTGGACTTTTCGAGATGCTCCAAGGTTACTGATGCTGGGATTAGGCATCTTCTATCTATTACAACTTTGGAAAAGTTGTGCATTTCTGAAACAGGTGTGTCGGCGAATGGGGTTATGCTTCTCGCTTTGCTGAGAAACCTGTCTCTCCTGGACCTGGGTGGTTTGCCTGTTACTGATCAAGCACTGAGTTCTCTTCAGGTAATTCGGTTTTCGGATGCTTACGCACATGTTTTTTTTGTCATTGATTGAGAGAAGTTCCTGGTATTGACAATTTATGTCTTTTTCTTAAACTGTATGCTTTTCTTAGGTTGTCACTGGAGTAAAGACATGATTCGTTTTAGCTTGATCTTGAAATTTCTGTTTTATATTTCATGTGGTTTGATAGAATTTGGCCCCTGAGATCTTCGCAGCTGAACTTAATATGTTCAGCTTTGATGCACACTGTCATATCTGCTTGTTGCGGTTCATACATGATTCTTTTCTTTCATTCACTGTTTCGCCGTTTCACTCTGAACTTCTGTTTTGTAATATTTTTTCTCAGGTACTTACTAAACTGCAGTACCTTGATCTTTGGGGGAGTAAAATATCTGACAAAGGTGCTGCTCTTCTTCAAGCATTTCCCAAGTTGAGTTTCCTCAATCTGGCTTGGACTAGTGTGACGAAGTTACCAAATTTGTCATCCCTTGAATCTCTAAACATGAGTAATTGTACAATTAATTCTCTACTTCAGTTGTCATTCACCAGCTTCAATTGTACAATTAGAGCTCCTTTGGCTAAGCTTATTGTTTCTGGAGCTACGTTTGGGGACGAGTTTGAAGCCTTCCATGATATTGAAAAAACTTTTTTGACCTTTTTGGATTTATCCAACTCCTCGCTTCAGAAATTCTACTTCTTATCTCATCTAAATGCTCTGGAACACTTGGATCTCAGCTCAAGTACAATAGGGGATGATTGGCTTGAACTAATTGCACGTATTGGAGTAAACTTGAAATATCTAAATCTTAGCCGCACCAGAGTCAGCTCTGCTGGAGTTGGAGTTGTCACTGGACATGTACCCAATCTTGAGTTCTTGTCAGTATCTCATACATTGATTGATGATGTTGCTGTTTCATATATTAGCATGATGCCATCTGTGAAATTTATTGACTTGAGCAATACGAACATTAAAGGTATGGTATACAAATGCTAGAGCCCTGTTATTGTCCGGAACTATGCTGGAGAAACTCACTGCAAACAGTGAAGTGAACAATTTTCAGCTGCAGGAATTTGTGACATAATTATGTGTTTTTCTTTTCTCAGGTGTCATTCACCAGGTTGAACCCGAGTCAGCTTCAGTTCTCTCGCTATCAGCACTTCAAAGTCTCCGACACTTAGAAAAGTTGAATTTGAAGGATACGAAAGTTACGGATGCAGCTCTTGACCCTTTAAAGAGCTTCCATGAGTTAACCGATTTAACACTGAAAAGTGCGTCGCTGACAGACAACTCGCTTTACTACACATCGTCTATACCAAAGCTCACAAATCTTTGCGTTCATGATGGTGTTCTGACCAATTCCGGGCTCAATTCATATAAACCTCCATTGACCCTAAGAATGATGGACCTGAGTGGTTGTTGGCTCTTAACCGAGGATGCGATCTCATCCTTCTGTAAAGCTCATCCTCAGATTGAATTAAGGCATGAACTTGTTCATATCTCTCCGTCAAAGCAGATTGTTTCTAATAGCCCATCTTCTTCACGATCAAATAGAAAGGCTTCACAGGCAAAGCAGAAGCAGCAGGAAAATGTACCAGTGTTGCCAGGTTTTCTAGGTAAAATTTATATATAAGCATTTTCTTCTGCAGCAGCGTTTATACAAATCATCTAATTGAATTCCTAAATTTTGTGAACCAGATCAAAGATTGAAGTATAGTAGAGAGGAGCTGCTTGCGCTGCAGTACTCATCATTATCCCTTGTGCCGCCTCCTGATCAGGGCGCTGTATTACCTAACACAGAATCGGATTAAGCTGGAGCCGTTCGCACAATTGCATCCAGATTTTACAACGCATCGCCCTTGTAGCTGTCTGCCATGGTAAGCTTGTGCTTTGTAATCATAGTTGAGATCCTTTTCTTGTTTCTTTTCCAAGGATGTCTACAAGTCGCTGTACAAAATTGGATTAGTGTCGTTTCTGTATGATATTGCTTCGATGCGGATCTGGACATAAAATTTTCTCATAATCAGAAGTGACATGTCGTTTTGTGGTTGTCAAATTTCAATGGAACAGGCAACACCATTGTCATTCCTTTGTTTTTATAGTAGGATTATTGGATAGGTTTTCTTCATGTCCAATTCTCATTTCAGTCCCCTTAATCATCATTTCATCGTAGGTCTTGTGTCGGGAAGTATTTGTATCATCTCATGTACACAGATAAATACTCTTTAACCATTACTAAGTTATAGATCACATGCAAGTGGTGGATTGCTCTGGTGACCTTTTCTTTAACTCACTACACTGTAAATTCAAGCACCTCTCAATCTATAGTGTAAGTGTAGATTATCACTTGTTCTAAAAAAGTGGTGTTTTGAGAAAGTCAACAAACCCTCAAACCAAAATCCATGAGAACAGACAACTAATTAAGTTACAAAACTCTCGTAGATGACACTTTACCGTAATGGCAAAAAGCAATTATGCATATGCATATGTACAAGCAAAAATATAAAAACAGAAACTGAAAACCAGGTGTGTACAGATAAGCATATGTACAATCAAAAATATAAAAACAGAAACTGAAAAAGAACTTGTCGAATTGAACGACGTCTTTAGGGTTTCTGGTTCCGCATGTGTATATCTTTCAGGCATCGGGCTTATTTTACACTCTTGTACATGTTATCGATCAAATCCTAGGCATCAAAAGAATTGAGTCAGCGCTATCACCGGCACTAACATATAAGAAGTAATCCATCATAAAAGAAACTCATACAAATTTCTATCACGCGGTGCTTAACGCGTTAACACTTCACATAGTGTGCAATGTAAAAACCAAGAATTTAGAAATTTCATAGAGTAAATAACAGGATAAGAGCCACCTTGTAGTGTTTAAGCAACTGGGATCTCTTTTTCTTGTATGTTGGAGTGATAAGGTCACGCTCCATGTCAAATGGTTCTGGGTCGAGGTGAACACCTTTTATAACCTCAAAACCTTTCAACTGCCAAAGACAACAAATTTAATTCTGTGACCACCAATGACTACAAATTTAAGGTACTCGAATTAAGAAAGGCGAAACCTTTTTCTCTTTAGCAATCTTGTTGAGCTCTCCAAGTATGTGTTCTTTCACCTTTGCATTTCCACAAAGAGAATGAAGTCACCAGATATACCATTTTGTTGAGCCCAACTTTCAATTGCTTGCTTGTTGGGATTAACTACCGCAACCAGGAAGGACTCAAAGCTGTTACCATAAACCCATATCTAAAATTGGCACAAAAAAAATTACGAACCATCAGACTAGTACAAATTCATATCAAGCAGTAGAAACAAATCCCACTATAGTTAAACCAGAATATTGCATTGAATGCACGTATTACTTAAATACACAAGTCACTATATCTAGATGAGCATTTTCTACTAAAAAGTTGCACGAAAACACACACGCAGAAAGAAAATAGCAGACGGAATAGCATAATTTTGAAATGCAATTACGAAAGCAGAAAGGCATACGGCGTCAATATGAGAAACAAGTCCATAAATATTCTCCAAGTTTTCAGCTGCAACATACTCTCCTTGCGAAAGCTTGAAAATATTCTTCTTTCGGTCAATGATTTTCAAGCTTCCATCTGGTTGCCACTCACCAACATCCCCTGATACAAAGATAATTATGGGCAAAAGTTAATGTCTGGAGTGTGTGATATGTGAGCCATAACAGACAAACGAAATACACCAGCATGAACAAACCTGTATGGAACCAGCCATCGAGGCAGGACCTCTTTGGTGAGGTCCTCGCGTTTGTAGTACCCTGAAAACAAAGTGTTCCCCCTTACACATACTTCTCCACGCGGTGTGTCTGAAAGAGCATCGTATCCCATTTCGGGGACTGATTCTAGGAACACATCCACATTCGGAACTGGAGGTCCCACAGTGCCAAGCATTGAAAGTTCATTTGGCAGTGATACAAATGTCCCCGAACAAGTCTCTGTCAGACCTACGGTAGCATATATACAGAATACGTTATCAATGTACCGAGATGAACCAATAGAATTGATGATAAAATGAAAACTAGCTTATATTATCCATTGAGTATAGCTCCTGAAGATAGCTTACCATATCCTTGTAAAACATGAGCGCACGCCACCACTCGTAAGAAAGCTTCTACATGAGTAGAAAGAGGAGCAGCTCCAGACAGTATAAGCCGCACCCTACCGCCCAATGCTTGCTTTACCTGAAGTTGTCGGAACATAAATTAGGCTCAATCTAGGAAGGATAATAGGGTTACAATTGTTGTTCATAGAATATAGAGCATGTTCAAGTAGAAAGGAAAAAGAAATCGACTACCTTACTAAACACAACTTTGTCAGCAATGGGAGACGCCTGTGCATGCCCATGGCCCTTTTGCATGTTATGATACTTGCTGCAGCACCAGATGAAACATATCAGGTTGAAACAACAACTATCCTATTATCTACTTCCACTAAGAGCACGAATATCTATGTCTACTTCAAGCCTTAATATCAAGTAGGTCTAAATTCACCAAATTTGCAGTGAATCCACACAGGTGTACATGCACATCAAACAAATAGACAGGATATTTCAGGAAACCACATGCAGATACAATGTATCTTGTTTAGGAAGTAAGAAGAAGGGTACAACAAATAGGATAAAGCACAAGTTCAAGCTCCTTTTCAGAACAGGCATGTAGAAAAATTTGATAAGATATAGCGTTTTACTAATCATCAACGCAAAGAATGGCACGTACTATGAATATGCAAGTTTGAACATGGTCTTTTTCACAAAGCCGCCTGACGAAATCCTCTGTGTCAAGCCTGGAATGTGCATAGAAATTATATAGCATATCAGTTGAAGTTATTACGCAATTTTTATATAATTGCATCAACGAGTAAGAAGCCTCAGTTCCATGGCTAAAATCATGCACTGACAAAGTGATCCCTCCACTGAGATGAATGGTTTCTTTCATTACTTCCACTCGAGCGAAAGATCCAGAAAATCAAATTCATTGGCAAATTAATCCGGGAGGTAAATGTACTTGTATTACCACTATTCCCAAAAGCTTATGATGTTAGGATTGGTCTAATGATTACTTTAATAACAACAGACCCCTTACATGTGAGCCTCTCACCACCATTGGAGCCCAACATGTTACATTTCAACCTAAGGTCTCTTGTTCAGGTACCATGTTAGTTCATCACTGTTCCCAAAAGCTTAAGATGTTGGAATGTGAGTCAACAAGTACTTATGGTTGAACAGTACCTGCATAGATTCTGTCTAATACACGAGGAACCGCACAGAAGATAGTCGGTTTTAGCTCCCCAATGTCTTCAGTTAACAATTTGACATCCTGAAGAATGAGAAATAACATATAAGTCAAAATCACACTTAAAATTTATTGTTAGAAACGAAAAATAAGTAATTGTACTCACCCCACACCAGAACCCTATTTGGGCGCCAGTCCAGATAAATAACTCCTCAATCACCCGATCGAAGTTATGTGCAAGAGGAAGAAATGAAAGATATACATCCTTCTCACTCAACTTTAAAAATGAAAAAGAAAACAAAAAATATAATGCAAAAGTCAGTATTCTAAAACACAAGTAACCAGTTCTTGTTCGCACAAAATGAGGTATGTCGTTTGAAATGAAGAGGAACTCACCTGTTCATTTACACTCTCTAGCAAACGTTTCACCCCAGCCAGAAGAGTAATGATGCTTTCATTGGATACCAATACTCCCTTGGGGTCACTAGTTGTTCCACTAGTATACATTATAGTGCAGATATCACTTTTCTTTTTTACCGGAAGGTCAAAATCTTTATTCTCTCCCTGCAGGAACATATTTGAAACTTAAACCAGAAAAATGTACAGTATTGATAATTTGGAAATAAATAATTAACCAAACTGTGCATGAAATATGACAGCCGGAATCCCCTCCCTTAATACATTACACATTTCCTCTAAATTATCACACGGTAATTATCTTTCAAATAACTGATTAGCAGTTCGGTAATTACACACAGATAGAGAAGAATCATTTTCCGTAAGAAATTTCCTCACTATTTTCCCCATAATAGTAATGTAGAGGCCTTTGTCCTTCTTTTGTTTTCAGAAAACTTTCTTTGGGTCACAAATATAATTTATTACATCAGAAGAGATTGGGAGAACAAAAATAGAACCCACCAGTTGCAGAAATTCACTCCATGAATATAATGCCACTCCATACTGCTCAAGTGTTTCCTTTTGTTCAGGTGTAACATTGCCAAAGCTCACAAGTGCTGCATTTAAAATAAAGATAAAGAACTTATTTTAATAGCAACAGATACATACACAAAGAATCTCGGAAAAAATATGAGAAATATGCGAAATATGCGACTTACTCTTCAGATATTTTGCCACACTAGGAAATGTTTTCAACAGCTGAAAGGACAGTAAAAGAAGAGAACATGAATGAGCACTAGCAGATTCAAAATGTCATAACTCTCAAATTGTCACCAACTAGCATTTTTACGTAGTTACTGTCAATATTCAACCTATATTTTCAGTATAATCTGACAAAAGTATCCTCTGCTCTGATGTACCTGTACCACATTAAAGCTTTACTAAGCAATAAAATTGTAGATATAGAATCATGTACCTCGGGTATCTTCTTTTCTTCAGAAAAAGCAATTGAAACTTCAGCATGGCATATGATAAATTCCACAGCACCAGCACCTAAACCATATATCAGAGATTAGGGGAAAAAAAACATTAAAAAAACTATTGGAAAATCACGAAATGCGAGTTAAGGTACACCTCAACTATATCAACCAAGCCCTTCAACCCAACTGACTGGGGCGGACTACATGATAAAGAAGAGATATGCCTACCTAGGGTGTCATATAAAGGCACGCAATAGAGTCCATGAGCATTGCAAGCCTGCAGGAATGTTTTATTATTAACTAAAGTTTCCCAGAGCAAAGGATACTTATGTAAATATAACCAAATATGAATGAACTACGTTTCATACAGCGTGCAAGCCTAAGTAGAGATACCAGACATATAAGAAAAATTTCTCGATGTAAACTCCTCACGTCAGAA